GTTCAATTTCAGTTTTTGACTATATTGTAACTCAAGATGCTTAAACAAGCAAATGAGCAATTTAATATTGTGGGAGTTACAGCAATCATCTTAGTACCCAGGACCAAAATCTCACGTGAACAGTTACAGTAAAATCCCCAAATACCTGAAACCGAAAGTTCTCTCAGTAACTCCTCTGCCAGCAAAACCTGCCTGAGCCAGTTTACAATCATTCTTTACCCATTATAATGTAAACATTTGTAGGTTTCACTGTAGACATAGTATCCTTTGATTATGTAATGCTGCTCCAGACTGCCTAGAGGTGAATATAATATAGTAATTTCACAACATCCCCAAGGATTTCAGATAAGAGAAAGCAGACCTTGAATTGTCATTGTGTATTATTTACTAAGTGCCAGGTACTACTTTAGGTATAATTCCATTTAATCCTCTCAACACAGTAAATTCAATCTTGCCCAAGATCACCCAGTGTGTACTAAATGGTAGAGGCAATATTCAAATTCAGGTTTATCTGAGTCAAAGCATTAATCACTTTTGAAAGTTGAAAAAAAGTACTGAAAATGAACCTCTTAAAAATAGAATATTGGGGCATGGGAAGTGAAAATAATCCTTTGAAAAGATTTAGTATCCCCCCATCCCTCCTTCCAGCAATCATCTTAAATAACACATCATCTAATAACACTAAATCATAAAGTAACACTTAAAATCATTAAAACCTAGTCATTTTCATATGAATGGCTAAGAAAACAAAGGTATCCTAAAGAAGGTAATTCTAAATTTTCTAAATTTTGTTCCATTTTTTTCTCCTACAAGTGAAGTACAGGACCTTATATATTTATCTTGCTACTGATACACCACCTTTGAGCAATAGAAATTTTTGCAATCCTGATTCTACTATACATTAAGTTCAAGAAGTAGGTCTTCTGTATTAATCTAAATCATTGGTTCTCAAGTAGGGGTAATTTTGTCTCTCCCCTTTGCCCCAACTCTGGGAAACATCTGGTAATCTCTGGAGACATTTCCTGTTGCCACAAGAAAGGTGGGTGGGCAGAGGCGTGTGTGTGTGTGTGTGTGTGTTACCAACATCTAGTGGGTAGAGGCCAGGGATGCTACTAAACATCCTAAAATGCACAAAATAGCCCCCCACAACAAAGAATTCTCCGGCTCACAATGTCAGCAGGGCCAAGATGAGAAATCATGATCTATATCACTGATGGAAATGCTGAAGAAGAATGAACAAAATACTGGGACACACTAAAGAGATTTCCAAGCTGATTATCAATTAACTAACCAGCAATATTCTCAATATTCAGTATGGCTTTCATCTAACTGGGAACTCACCTTAATGCTTTATTCATCTAACATCTGAATACAGACATTTTAAATTCAGTTAGTAGCAAAACCATTTTCATTTTAAAAATAATAATGGGCAATTTAACAAAACAAATGGAAAATTTAGTTGCACAGATTTTGAATTATTTTTATTATTATTATTTATAATTTATTATTTTTTTCACTGAACTGACCCCCAAAATGGTCCTATGAATGAAAGATCATCTTACCATAAAGGATTGGATTAAGTCAAACTTTACACTCTGAAACATGTATTTAAATATTCCATATCTCAGTAGAATTAAATAAAAGCAAATTTAAAAAAATGTCATTTCAACCTTTCAAATTAGCAACATTTTTTTTTAAAGAGAAAACTCAGTGGTAGTGAGATGTTTAAACGGGTATTCTCATATACTACAAATGGAAATGAAAACTGGTTTAGTCCCAGTTTACTATTAAAAGTCACACTTCACAGATGAGGAAACTGAGGCAAAAAGAAGTTAGGTGGTTTAGCTTAGTATCACATAGCTGGGAGGAGGCTGATTATAAATTTGAATATAGGCAGCCTGGCTCCAGTTTCTGCTCTTAACTACTCCATCTTACTATCTCTATGTTGTAGAGACTTTTTACAACTATTTAAAATGCATCAAAAATGATTGTAAGACCAAATTAAAGGATAAACAGACTGGTGAAAATATTCCCTATGTATGGAACAGAGTAAGATGGGCTATAAACAGGCACATCTTAAAAAAAAAAAATTCAACAGCTCACCCTTTCCAATAATTAGATGTAATCTCTGTATTCTCTGATCCAGTAAGTCTACTTTCTAGGGACTGATTGTACAGAAAAAGTCATGTAAACACACAAAACCATTTCTTCAAGAAGAATTATTTAATGTAATGTTTATTATGGCATTATTTCTAATAATTAGAAACTAGAAATAAGCTAAATGTTCATGAATATGGGAATAATTAAATAAGTTAAAATACAGTAGTCATAGCTGGAATATACTACTTAGCAATAAGGCAGATTTGCATTAACAAGAAAAGAGCTCCTAGCTGCAGAAAAAAGTATTCTTTTATTTATAAAAATTTAGTAATGTTTAACTTAAAAAGAGTCATGTAACTTTGTTTACTCTTATGCATTTAATACTATGTTTTATTTTATTAATGGAAAAAAAAGAAGAAAACATGATTGAAGGAAACATGAAGCGTTATCAGCGGTCATCTCTACATAATGGAATTGTAGGTGCTATTTTTCCTTTAAACTTTTTAATGATGAGGCTATATTATTTTTACAGTTGCTACATACACTGATTCCTTCCTACACTCCAGTTAGTGATTAGGTAAATTAATACATTAAAGGTCACAACTCAGGGCGCCTGGGTGGCTCAGTCGGTTAAGCGTCTGCCTTCGGCTCAGGTCATGATCCCCAGGTCCTGGGATTGAGCCCCGCATTGGGCACCCTGCTCAGTGGGGATCTTCTTCTCCCTCTCCCATTGCTCCTCCCCGCACTTGTGTGCTTTCTCTCTCTGGCTCAAGTAAAGTCTTTAAAAAAAAGTCACAACTCTACACAATAACTGCCATCAGCTCCATTTTACAGATGTGAAAACAGCAAAGAAATTGACTCTAAAGCCTATTATGAACTCTGCTGCTAATCTCATGTGAAAACACTAAAAAACTTTAAGAAAACCAACTCCAAATAACTATAAATTTATGAGCAAAAGGCATAATGTAAAAGGAGTCCAATTTGCTACTTCAGAGATCCGAGGTGTTCCAAAATAACCAACTATAAATTTGGGTTCTAAACCCAAGAAATATACTGAAAGTTAGGGGCGCCTGGGTGGCTCAGTCGTTAAGTGTCTGCCTTCAGCTCAGGTCATGATCCTAGGGCCCTGGGATCGAGCCCCGCATCGGGCTCCCTGCTCGGTGGGGAGCCTGCTTCTCCCTCTCCCACTCCCCCCACTTGTGTTCCCTCTCTCGCTGTCTCTCTCTGTCAAATAAATAAATAAATAAAATCTAAAAAAAAAAAAGAAATATACTGAATGTTTATTTTTGGAAACAAAACAAAAACTTCCTACATACATTCATGTATCTAGAGACCCCAAAATTTTACATTTGAGGGTATATGCTTTTTAGTACTAAGAACTAAGCTCTGATGATAATCTGAATGGTTTCCTTCATAACACAGGAATACATTTTATATTTGAGAAGACACAAACCAGTAACCTTAAATTTCAAATAAATTATGTCAATTTCTAAATACGTCGGTTTCAAAATGCACACTGGAATCATCTCATATTTGATAAATGAAAAACATTACTTTACTTCTGAAAGCTACCCAGGAAAAAGGAAAACCACTTTTACAAATATTTGCCTTGAAACATATAAAATAAATGGATAACACCATCTTCTAATATAACTTCTTTTGAAAAGGTGGAAAGTTTATTAGAATAATGATTATTCTGATGGTTTTGCCTTTTCAGTTTATGAAGCGATAAAACTGTGAGGGAACCTTAGTTTACCTACTACAACCCCCACATCATACAGATGAGGCCCAGAGAAAGTAATTTGCTCAAGGCCTTGCAGTTACTAAGAGCCTGAAAAAGGTAAAACTCACTCAGGATTTTTTACTCTAAATCCAGAATCTCGACGTTTGAAAAGTATTACCGGGTGCCTGGGTGGCTCAGTTAAGCGACTGCCTTCGGCTCAGGTCATGATCCTGGAGTCCCGGGATCGAGTCCCGCAGCGGGCTCCCTGCTTGGCAGGGAGTCTGCTTCTCCCTCTCCGGCTCCCCCCTCTTGTGCTCTCTCTCTCTCTCACTCTCTCTCTCAAATAAATAAAAATCTTTAAAAAAAAAAAAAAGAAAAGTATTACCTAATAATTTAGTGGGCTACTTACAGTATTTTGGGATCCTGTTCTCCTCTGTACTAATGGGACCTTTTAGACCTAGCACTGACAGAAAGCAGCAGACTAATCTCTAATATATTAACCGTACTCACAGATTTACTAGAGAGTAAATGTTTTCCAAGCCTCTCTCTTTTCCAACATTGGCTTTCAAGTGAATCTTACTGGAACCCCAAAGTGGAAGCGATATAAAAACCAAACTGCTCTAGTCAAAATTGTACAGGGGTCCTGCTCTGATTTATCATTTTGTCCTTGTAACCTCTGAAATACTTCCATGGTACCTTAGGTCTCAGGTATACATATATACACACATACATATATACACACACATACCAGAAGCCCAAATTTTTATTAGTCACATGACATAAAATTAGTGTAAGTTTCTAAATGCTTTTCTGGGTTTTTTTTTTTTAAGATTTTATTTACTTATTTGAGACACAAAGAGTGAGAGAGAGTGCACGAGAGGGGATAGGGTCAGAGGGAGAAGGAGACTCCCCACTGAGCAGGGAGTCCAATGCGGGACTCGATCCCGGGACTCCAGGATCATGACCTGAGCCGAAGGCAGTCGCTTAACCAACTGAGCCACCCAGGCGCCCATAAATGCTTATTTTCAATTTGTGCAATTATCTTGGCATAGACCGATAACAAAAAGCTTACAGACTACACTTTGAGTAACAATGCTCTATAGCAAACCAAACCTTAAAAGATGTTCCTGATCAAATCAGAATACCCAATATACTAAGAATGCAGTTAGAAACTTACCTCTTATCAAAAAATGTTGAATTTTCTTTTCTCTTGGTGAATCCATTGGGTAGAAGCTTTAAGTTAATACCTTGTCTTCTGGCACGATTTTTCATAAAGTACATCTAATAACCAAAAATAAATAAATAGACAAATTAATTTTAAAATGCCTTAAATTTCAGAAGTGAATAAACAATGTTCAAAATATAACAGTTAAGATTTATTGGGTACTTATGTTTCACAAACTGCACTAAACAGCAATATCTCATTTAATCCTCACAATAGTATCAGATAGGCACTATTACTACCCCCAGGCTAGGAACGAAAGTTAATGAGATGCCAACATTATATAGCTATTTCCTGAGAGAGCCTGTGTATACTCAGGTATATCTAATTCTAGAGCCTGTGTTTTTAACCATACATTCTATAAGCCAAAAGAAGGATTTAATGGGATTTTTAAAAATATAGGTCATCTGGCAATTCATAGGGGCTACCTGTACAGCGCCTTTTCTTTTACTGAAGGGTTTATACCATATGTAGCTGTATACATGCCTGCTTTGATTATTAGACAGGTAGTTACATTCGGGGGGAACCATGGCATTGCCTAGTACGAGGCCCAACTTAAAGTAGTCACTGCTGTAAAATACACAAAATGGGATATCTGAATAATCTGGCTCTGAAATGTATTACTCCGCTGACCATCTGCGTTGGCTGAGCTGAACTAGTCAACTCCAGAGAGTAGTGAAGGAAGTAATATCATTAAGACTTCTTCCTTGATCACTCAAATGGCAAAGTATAAATGCAAGTTTTTGGTTAAGTGAATGGGAATCTAGAATTTGCAATGCAAAGAGTTTGACAATTAAATCATAAGCCAAGGGAAAAGAAGAGTCAGTTATCATTTGTTAAGAAGGGAAATAATTTAAGAAATTACATGCAATTCTATAACTCATGGGACTTTGGTTTCAGTAATGGCAATGATTATAACGACCAACCCTCCCACTGAAAACACCTAAGCATTACAGATAATGGAGGAAATAAATAATGTAATAAAATATATTTAAAAATCACCTTAAAAGCATTGAAGAGTTGAAAAAAAAAACCCAGGAAAATACAAGCCAATATTTAGTGAGAAGTGAAAACTCAGAGAGGTAAGCAAAGCAATGAAGCCACTTTTGCAATTTCTGGCAAATACAGGCTTTCCCTTTCAACAGCCTTCTCAGTAAGAGGGTCAGAGTTAAGATCCTGTAATCTTCTAGGAACTCCTCCTCAAATGAATCTCAGTAACAGAATATGCCTATTAGGCAATAATAAGATAAGGATGAACCAGAAATAAACACCATCCCCAGAGCATGCGAGGAAATTTATATTGGAATGACTGGAACAGAGGGGAAAAAGGAAAAACAATTCATCAGAAGCTGTGGCCATGGGCCAGTTCTTGCTAAGATTTGAAATGATTTGCCTTGCTTGTGTAGTCAAGGGAATCTTAAACTTTCAACTTGGTTTAAGATAGGTCCAGATTTGCAATATTCCCAGGTACCTGGCAGAATAAAAGAAGGCCTGCGTCCTACTCTTCAAAAAGGTCTCACAAGTAATTTAAGGAAAAAAAGGAGTACTTAATAAAAAATAAAGCATAAATAATGCAAGAAAACAAAGGTCAGTGGGCAAGAACCAAAAGAGAAAAAAGAGGTAGCTGAGAATTCCCCATATATTCAGACACTAAAAGGATCATACACAGACTGTACAACAGCTCTGTAAAATTTAAAAACGTAACAGCTTGAAAATATGTGCAGTGAAGAGAAACTATAAAAACTGACTCAGGAGATTTTTTAAAGAACTAAATAAAACTAGAACATTTCCAGAATACATTACAGAGACAAAAAAGATTTAAAAAATTAGAGACGTTAAAGGGGAGGTAAGATACGGGGAGAAGACTTAACTCACTTTCAATGGTAGTTTTAGAAGAAGAGAAGGAATAAGGCAGAGGTAATCTTTTAACAGAAATGGGCTGAAAATGTCCCAGAACTGATGGACAATATGCCACAGATTCAAGAAATCTAACAATTCTCAAGATGAATAAAAAGAAATTTGCATTGCTGTATTATAGCACAAATACAGAATACCAAAGATTAAAAAATGCAGCCAGATTAAAAGATTTTAAAGGCAGTTAAAGACCAAGTGGGATTTATTCCTGGGCTGCAAGGTTGGTTCAACATCCGCAAATCAATCAATGTGATACAATACATTAATAAAAGAAAGAACAAGAACCATATGATCCTCTCAA